TATGGTGTTCGATTACTTTTTTTTTTTCAAACTACTCTGAAAATTAAGCACCTAACAGGCTGAATAGAAAACAGTAATTTCTAATTTCAGCATTAAAGAAATGTATTTCTCTTGATTTCTGCTGAATGGAGTCCCTGAGAAAATCCACTTTCCCTAGGGCCACGGACCTGCATTTGTCATTTGTTCAGATCAGAATTTAAATTGTTTTGTCTACTTTGATAAACTTCGGGATTTCCTATACAATTCTCCCAGTGAATCTCTTCAACCTTGTTTATGACCACAAACTGACCAGTACCCTGGTGCAAAAGCTACTGCTACCGTACCTGTGTGTTGACTTCACACTGAGCACTTCTCTTCCGTGTTTAGGCCATTGCTAAGGGTGCAAAGAGTTCTCCTCAGTAACATAAACCAGGATTGCAGATCACTCGCTTGGGCTTTTGATTTTGTTTCTCTCCAAGGCAGCAGATCTCTGGAAAAAAAAATAAAAAAGGAGAGAGAGAGAGAGAGAGACCACTGCCTTTCCTCATCAGGAAGTGTGTTACTATTTTATAACCCAGCAGTGCTCGTTTTTTCAGTAAATTCTTTTCAATTCTCTGATAGAATAGGCATCTCACTAACAAAGAATATCTCTAGCCTCTTGAACTCATGGTGTTTTCTAATAATTCATCCACACGTTTGGTTTCGATGTTGCACAGTTTGTCCGAATGAACAGTAACAACAACATAGCCCTGAAAAAGTAGACTCTCTGGCTCAAAACCAACCAACCAACCCACCTCAAAAAACCCCACTGTAAATGTGGTCTTTATTATGACAAAAAAAAACAGCAAAAGCAAACAAAAAAAATGTTAAGAGTATTTTATTTGTGTGCTCAATACATTATTTGCCTCAGCAAGTACAATTTTACAAGGCCACGTGATGACCAGACAGAAAGCAAAGAAATAACCACATCCTCTTTGAAACTACAAGGAAAGGATCTTTGCTTCCCCAGTGGGGCTTTTATCAACCTGAGGAAACACTCTGTTTTTAGTTTGATTAGCTTTTTCGGTTGGAAAGGGTGATTATTAATTAATTATATTTACCACCTAGATATTTCTCCCCCAGTATATCAGCTAGAGGAATAGTGGATCAATCACATTCACCTGAGCATTATCAAAGGACTTGCAAGAAGCTCGAAAAAAAAAAAAGCCTCATGAGGACACAAGCACCTTCAGAAATAGAAATAACAGTCTGAGATAATATTAAGAGATGGAAATGAAGCATCTCAGGGTTTTTTGAGGATTTGGCTTTTCATTTTAGGAGCTGCATTTCTCTCTCTGGCAGATTTTGGTCATTATCATAAAAACCTTTCCATTTCCTAGTCATGCACATGCCTATGTGCATAAAGGCCTAATGGTAGGTTGCATGTGCAGACATAACCTAACACTTCAGCTTCTTTTCTAGATTAACATATAAGGATCAGATTTATAAAGAGATATTCATACAGGGGAAATTGCTAAATATCTTCCTGAAAAAAAAAAATGATGGGGATGTATCAAAGCACTCAAAAAACCTTTTCAAATATGGACAATTAAAAATTGCTCTATTCATAATCGTCTTTTATACTGCATTGAGGGCACAAGCTGATCTCCAGTGTCAGAAGCAGAACAGTCAAAGCAGAACAGTCCTCACATCAGTGTTTGCAAGGTTGAAAGGTTAAGCAGGTTAATGAGCTGCTGAGATATGGAAACCATCAGCCAAGTTGAAACTGAGCTCGTGGTCTGGAGAGAGTGAGAAGAGGGAGAGAGAGTGAAGGAGAAAGTAGAAGCATGCGAGCCTTGAGAGAAAAGGCCAGGTCGCCAGGTCAAAAAAGGCATTGAAACACCAAAGACTTCCAAGTAGCCCGTTCTTCAGCTTTTATATATATTTATTTTTATATATATGTATATATATTGACTCTTGCCTCGCCCACACTTTACCACTAGGCGGCCCCATATGGATGAAGAATTGCTTACCAGCCTCAAAGTTACGCTGGCATTTAAATCTGTTTAATTTTCAAGAGTGCTTGACATCAAAAGAAAAAAGCCTTCAAAAGTCTGGCCACGTGGGGTGAAACAAGACAAGAGTTTGAACAGCTCTAAACTCAAAAGCTTGAACTAGAATGCAGGTCTCAGGTTCTGGCTGTCATAAACTCGAGAAGTAAAGTACCAGTCTAAGCAGGACAAAAAACTCACACAAATTTGTATATGCTGTGTAACATACTTGAGTTCATGCTTTCAGTCTTTCCAGCACTGGCAAAGTCACAGGATGGCACCCACCTTTGGATACTTGCTTCAGGAAAGAGACCATCTGGAACTGGAGGAGAGCAGCAAAGATGAACAGAGATCTGCAAAATGTAACCAACGTGGAAAGCATGAGAAAAGTGGACTTGCTTAGTCTACAAAGGGCTAAGAGGGTTGTGAAAAGTTAGTCATGGAAAGCTGTGAATAACAAGTCTGTCAGACCTCTGTCAGAAGACATTATCAGTGATCCTGCTTCAGTCACCCCTATCAAACCTCTCAGCCTTTTCAGGTTTTTGAGAAGGTTTCTTATGGGCTGACCACCACTAACAGCACCTAATACGGCTCCACAGCGTCCTTGCAGCACATCCCTGTCTTCCTTGTTAGGATTCCAAGGGATTAAGGGGCTAAATCCCCTCCTCTTCCATAAGCAGCAATAAGGTGCTTGTAGCATAGATTCTTCTTCTAGAAAGTCATAGCCACTACATGCTGCTGTTGCTTGTCCTATTGGCAAAAGGGGATGTGAATGGCTGTGCCAGGCAGATGTAGACCACCGGGGCAGACCACCTTAAAATCAGGAAATTTAGCAGGGGGTTAGGGCATTGGTGTCCTAGGCCAACAAAGCGCGCCGTGATCGTATAGTGGTTAGTACTCTGCGTTGTGGCCGCAGCAACCTCGGTTCGAATCCGAGTCACGGCATCGTCCCCTGGGCGGTCGCACGGCATGCGGGCTCTCGTTTTCATTTTTTTGAGAGGTCCTGGAGAGCAGGGGAGGTGCCCGAGGCCTGGAAGAAAGCCAACATCACTCCAGTCTTCAAAAAGGGCAAGAGGGAGGAGCCGGGCAATTACAGGCCGGTCAGCCTCACCTCTGTCCCTGGAAAGGTGATGGAGCGGTTCATCCTAGAGAGAATCTCCGGGCATATGGCGGAGAAGAAGTTGCTGAGGAGCAGTCAGCATGGATTCACCAAGGGGAAGTCATGTCTGACGAACCTCATAGCCTTCTATGATGGGGTGACAGGCTGGCTGGACGAGGGGAGAGCCGTGGATGTTGTCTACCTTGACTTCAGCAAGGCTTTTGACACTGTCTCCCATAACATCCTCATACGGAAGCTCCGGGAGAGTGGGCTAGACGAGTGCACGGTGCAGTGGATCGAGGGCTGGCTGGATGGCAGAGCTCAGAGGGTGGTCATAAATGGGGCCGAGTCCAGCTGGAGGCCTGTGGCCAGTGGTGTCCCCCAGGGGTCAGTACTGGGCCCAGTGCTGTTCAACTTGTTTATCAATGACCTGGACGAGGGCACGGAATGCACCCTGAGCAAGTTTGCGGATGACACCAAGCTGGGTGGAGTGGCCGACACTCCGGAGGGCTGTGCTGCCATCCAGAGGGACCTGGACAGGCTGGAGAGTTGGGCAGAGAGGAACCTCATGAGGTTCAATAAGGACAAGTGCAGGGTCCTGCACCTGGGGAGGAATAACCCCAGGCATCAGTACAGATTAGGGGTCGACCTGCTGGAAAGCACCTCCACGGAGAGGGACCTGGGAGTCCTGGTTGACACCAAGTTAACCATGAGTGAGCAGTGTGCCCTCGTGGCCAAGAAGGCCAATGGGATCCTGGCCTGCATCAGGAGGAGCGTTGCCAGCAGGTCAAGGGAGGTGATTCTGCCCCTCTACTCAGCTCTGGTGAGGCCGCACCTGGAGTACTGTGTTCAGTTCTGGGCACCCCAGTACAGGAAGGACGTGGAGCTTCTGGAGAGGGTCCAGAGAAGGGCAACCAGGATGATTAAGGGAATGGAACATCTCTCGTATGAGGAGAGACTGAGTGAGCTGGGCCTTTTTTCTCTGGAGAAGAGACGGCTCAGAGGGGATATGATTAATATGTATAAGTTCAGGAAGGGAGAATGCAGGGAGGAAGGGGACAGGCTGTTCTCACTGGTGGCCAGCGATAGGACGACGGGTAATGGCCACAAACTGAAGCATAAGAAGTTCCGTCTCCAGGTGAGGAGCAACTTCTTTACTGTTAGGGTGACAGAGCAGTGGAACAGGCTGCCCAGGGAGGTTGTGGAGTCTCCTACTCTGGAGGTCTTCAAAACCCGCCTGGATGCCACCCTGTGCCACATGCTCTAGGTGTGCCTGCTTGAGCAGGAAGGTTGGACTAGATGATCTGTAGAGGTCCCTTCCAACCTTAAATATTCTGAAATATTCTGAAATAAGAGCAAATATATTCTGGAATAAATTCTGGAACAGATGGCCTCTTGAAACTCACTCCAGGCTCATCTTCTAAAGTGTCTAGGTGGCTTCTTTGGGAAAAAAAAAAAAAAAAAAAGAAAGAAAGAAAAGTTTCTAGGGAATTAAATTACACATATTAGTAGAAATGTACTGAATGCTAATCTCAACTGCTACATCATTTTCAACAATAACAACCACAAAGCCCTTCTAGAAAAGGTGAAGTACAGTGTATCTGGCATTCTGAGCCATTTGACAAAGATAGGTCAGATGAGCATGTGTTCAATCCAAGAACCAATGAGACCTTGATATTAATCAGTATTTATTCTGATTATCCCACACCAAGACACAGCATTGTCAGGGCTGTGATCATCAGGTTTCTCATTCCAAACACTTCCATTCCTGGCCCTTGCTGGGGTCCCAGGGACTCCAGTACACTTCAGATTTGTGCTTGGACTTCCCATTTCCCCTCTGCTAGGTTTGAGGTGTTCTGGAACCCTCTCTTCACTCTTCTTTTCTCAAAAAGAGGAGACTAAAGGAAAGCACTGTCATGACGCCCAGTAGGTTTATTCCAGATATTAGATTCCATTACTAGATTCACAGCTGAGACCACAAATTCTAGTTGATCTCCTAAGAAGAAGGATGCAGACTGTAAACAATCGTGTTCAAGAAGACAGCCCTTCAAATCTGCTATCTTCATCTTAGGCACTAAAAATTTCATCAGTGCATCTTGAAAGATGCTTGAAGATGCACTGCCCATGCCCACTTGAAATCTCTAGCCTGGACAATGCTCATAGCCCTTGAGTTATTCTCACTGGGCACTGTACTCAAGTTACACCTGCCTCACAGCCGCAAGGCCAGGAATTGCAGTGTGTGTGTGTGTGTGTGTGTGTGTGTGTGTGTGTGTGTGTGTGTATATAAAGCAGCTTGCATGCAAAATAAATATCTATTTTAGAACTATTATTTATTCATATTATTATAGTATTAGTGAGGGTAAATACTCTCATCAGCTTCAAAGCCTGCAGGACAAGATCTGTTTCAGATGCAAACAAAACCCAAAAAGCTGAGTAGCATGAAAAACTTTGGTAGAGGCTGTAATAAATGCCTAACATATAGCACACAGTCGCTGCCAGCAGTGAGACAGGGTACTCCTGAGAATCACACGGCATGTAAATAAGAGCAACGGGAACTTCATGGAACAGAGCCAAATTCTGACAGAGTATTCATCTAAGTGGCAGTCTGTCTCTGTATAGCAACAAAGACTACTACTATGAATAAAAGCATTGTTATGATCCTTTATTTGAAAAAGCACAAAACCCAAAAAAGGCCGTACCTGCAGTCATAGCTGCTGTGCTGCAAACCAAAACGCCGACTCTGTGATCTCAGCCTTCCAAACCGGAGCCTGTTCGTTGGAAAGAACAAACACAAAAGACTGCCTTCAGCACCACGTACTACTGCACCATTAAGGCAAACCAAAAACCTTTGGGATGATCATGTGTTCCGGTTAACAAGATTGATTTCCCTCTTTTCTTTGTTTCTTACCTAGGCTGTCATTCTGGAACTGGATTGTTTAATAGCAGATGGCAGATGGATTCTCCTCTAACTTGATCAAATTTCTATGCTTATCAAAAGCCAAAAGTTTCATGGAAGTCCTTCACCTCCAGGAAAAATGCCTTCAAAGTCTCCTTTGCTTTATATTCACGTCTCACCTTATATTAATATCCCACTGTGGAGTTGGTGCCCCAAGCCCCTTCTCAGACAAAGGGTCCACTCACAGCAGCTGCGGTGCATCCAGCAACTCAGCTTGCCTCTGGACCCAACACATGCCCCAGTAAGTGCCCACGTGCCCTGCCACCCCCCAGCTGTGGGGCCTCAGCAGGATTGTTGTTCAGGTGAAGCTGAAGGAGGCAGCTGGGAACCAGGGCACAACGTAACAGGCAAGGTGGAAGCAGGGATAGGGCTCATGGATTTGTAAGTAGGAAAGTTTTCCCCAAGCTTCCACTTAATTGTGGAGACAGAAACGAGCTTGCCTACCACGCTGTGGGCACCTGTGCTGAGCTCTGCTCTGAACTCCAGGGATGGCTGGACTGTGGTCCTTTTGTGAGACACCACAAATAACATGTCCCTGCAGAATAAGATAATCGGAATTTTAAAGGAGAAAGAAAAAACTTTAATCTTGGTAAATCTTAAAATAGTTCTAGGAAAAGCTGAATAACAACCTTGGAAGTTTAAAGCAACACAAAAAAGTGTTCCATAGTTATGAACAAAGGTGATAAAAACACAGACAGCGTGGAAGTCATGCTAAGTTGCTTCCATTTCACAGACCTATGTAATACATCTATGATGTATTACACATTTTGCATTTGTTGACTTATTGTAATTTTAGTCAAGAAACTGGCTGAGGTTTATGAGATCTTCAGTTTTTTTAAAAGGACTCTTACTAGAAACAGCATCGTAACAATGTGCCTCTGTGTATGTTCAATACCCAGTCAAGACTATCAGGAGAACTTGCTAAAATTTCAGATAATTCTTACGTAAAGATATAAGACATTCTCACATAAAATCTTTGCCTGTAATAATTTAGTTCATAGAAAGTATCTAATTATGTAAACCATTTGATTTATTTATGTTTCATTTTACAACAGAGCATGACTTATAATTCTGAATATGAAGGTAGTGAGACAAGAAATGCTGTGACTGAAAGAAAACACTGAAAGACCTACACCACTATAGGTGGTGGTTCGTATGCTTTTCTTTCCATTCCTTTTCTAGCTATAGCCATATGACAGACAACTTGAGAAAGCTGGAGACTGCGCAGCTTAAAGCTTTACAAGTATTAACATTCTGAATACAAAAATATAATCACCTTTTAGTTTTGGCAGGGCTTTCATTTGTTACAAGAGGCTGTGACTTGCACAGGTCGTACTTAGTTTGTATTCTTCCTCATGGTCAAAGGAAGCTTCTCTTGAATTTGTGTTATTGCTCTCGTCATTCTCCCATCTGCACGGTTTATTTTGTTCACAACTGTCCCACTTTGGGCAGTTTTCTGAACAAGAAACAACTAATCACTGTTTATTTGTTGTTCAAAAACCTACCTTCAAAATTATAAGAAAAATTAAACTAAAGGTGTCAACCTTTAAGTGGAGGAAAAGTCTGATTAAATGAACTATTGCAGTTGAACTAACTAATCAGACTAAAAGTCTGATTAAATGAACTATTGCAGATGACACCAAGCTGGGTGGAGTGGCCAACACTCCGGAGGGCTGTGCTGCCATCCAGAGGGACCTGGACAGGCTGGAGAGTTGGGCAGAGAGGAACCTCATGAGGTTCAATAAGGACAAGTGCAGGGTCCTGCACCTGGGGAGGAATAACCCCAGGCATCAGTACAGATTAGGGGTCGACCTGCTGGAAAGCACCTCCACGGAGAGGGACCTGGGAGTCCTGGTTGACACCAAGTTAACCATGAGTGAGCAGTGTGCCCTCGTGGCCAAGAAGGCCAATGGGATCCTGGCCTGCATCAGGAGGAGTGTTGCCAGCAGGTCAAGGGAGGTGATTCTGCCCCTCTACTCAGCTCTGGTGAGGCCGCACCTGGAGTACTGTGTGCAGTTCTGGGCACCCCAGTATAGGAAGGACGTGGAGCTTCTGGAGAGGGTCCAGAGAAGGGCAACCAGGATGATTAAGGGAATGGAACATCTCTCGTATGAGGAGAGACTGAGTGAGCTGGGCCTGTTTTCTCTGGAGAAGAGACGGCTCAGAGGGGATATGATTAATATGTATAAGTTCAGGAAGGGAGAATGCAGGGAGGAAGGGGACAGGCTGTTCTCACTGGTGGCCAGCGATAGGACGACGGGTAATGGCCACAAACTGAAGCATAAGAAGTTCCGTCTCCAGGTGAGGAGCAACTTCTTTACTGTTAGGGTGACAGAGCAGTGGAACAGGCTGCCCAGGGAGGTTGTGGAGTCTCCTACTCTGGAGGTCTTCAAAACCCGCCTGGATGCCACCCTGTGCCACATGCTCTAGGTGTGCCTGCTTGAGCAGGAAGGTTGGACTAGATGATCTGTAGAGGTCCCTTCCAACCTTAAATATTCTGAAATATTCTGAAACTATTGATTGCATTGCCTCCATTGTTGATATACACTGATCAACTCCAGGATCTAATTTTCCTTCCTGAAGAAGTATAATGTCAAGTTTGTAAATACATCTCCTCAAAGGATGCAAGCGTGGTTATTCACACATTTGAGAAGATGCTTTCTTATTTTGTAATGAAAAGACTTGCAAGAAAATTTCAACTTTGATTTTGCATGATTTTTTTCTTTCCCTGCCCCAGCTTAGCTCTACTTTTCCCCAAAACTGGAATGTCCTTTAATATTTACTAATTATATAAACTTTTTTTTTAAAAAGCCTTTCATATTACAATATCTAAGCAGAACCTTAGAATATCTAAGCTTTGAACTTACTGTCATCTAATAGTTTGTGAACTACATTATGATTTGAAGGAACAGTCCTCCTTTTTTTTTAATGATAATAGGTATTACTGAGAAGCATGAACAAATATATTCCTGTATTAACCCACAACAGATTATTACAGTAACTAAAAATGAAACATAGCAATGGTCATATTTTAGGCAAATATGATATTAAATCAGATGACTGAAAGGTTCAAGAGCCTGGACTACCAATTGTATAAGCAGCTTATTAAACAGCTGTATGGGATTAGACTAGAACACATTCATTTGAGCCACAAAACCTCCCTCCAGCACCTGTTTTACTCTGTAGTGTGAACTCAGAGCTCCTGTCCTGAGAGGGGCAGAGTCTCTCCCTCCCCACACGCCATACACCTGGCTCAAAGGACGCTGTGATTCCGTGTTAAGTGACATGCAATGGTTATAATGCAGCCACAGCAGCAGGTAACTAAAGGGTTACAACATTAACAAGTTTGCATTGCTTTTTTTTTTTTTTTTAAATTAAATACCTTAATGCCTTAAATACCTTAGAGATTTCTTGAGCACCTGTGTTGTATTTGCTGGGTCTTCCCAAACTTAGGGAGATGGAGAGGCAGTAACTCACTATACGGACAAGGCCTGTAAGAGAATGTTACAAGGTCTTTACAAGGTAATTGTCATTTTTCTCTGTTTTCTAATGGTTAACAACAAAATAGTCTCATCTTGTATTGCCTTATAATGAATAATCTACACTGTTGCTGTTCTGTTTATTCTTCTTTTAAAGCATTGCTATCCACACACAGGTACACAACTCAGCTACAAGATTTTCTGTTGAGGCTCCCTACTAGCTAAAAAGAGCAGTAAAGCCATCACTGGTGAGCAGCTATTGTAATACTGCTATCACAAATAATACGTTATCTTCAAAGACAGGAATATATTTTGTTTCCCTTTTTTGTTACCTGCCTTTGGATGCATATGCCTCCTTTAGGTCATTGCAAAACTCCCAAAAAAGGGCTTGTCTTCCCCAAAATATGTCCCTTTTCCCCACTGACATTTTTTTGCCTAACAACGTTTATTGCTTTTTGTACACTCCCTGCCGTGCTTATACTCTTAGCCTGGAGCATCACAGGTAAAACAATATTGCTATTATTATAACAAGGTCAAATTCTAGAACATTTACTAGAACATATTTACTTTAGCAGCTGGTTGTCAAGCTGAAATTGGCACTTTTACATCTTTCAGAAATGGTTTTCACAAAGTCATCTGCAAAAAAACTTCCAAATGAAGTTGTGATGGTAAAAAGAGAAACATACGTGTCAGATACACACCTATAGCTCAGGGTTCCACATTAGCTATTATAATTTGTAGATACTGTGCCTACAGTTTGTGGCTGTGGGGTATTCTCAAGCTCACAGAGGCAGGAACATGGTAACTTGGTCTGTACATGAAAAGATGCCTGCAGGAGAATATTTAAAGACGCTTTACAGGCTGATGGATACATATATTTTTTCTGTTTCCCAAAAGAAAACAACTTAATTTAATTTTGTTAGTGTTATCTTGATAACCGCACTCTTGATAACTGTTTCTGTATGATATTGCTGTTTAAAATATCTGTCATTACATGTGCGTACACACATGCACACTTTTTTTTTTCTTTTTTTAAGAATTGCATCAACTAAACAGCAGTCCCGCTGCCGGTGGCTTTGGGAAATGTGCTGCTGACAATTTCCTATAGGTAAACATCAAAACCTGAAATTCTGTCATGAAAAATTAGAGATTTTCCTGCATAAAAAAATAGTCTTCTGTTACTGACCTGTGTTTGCGATGAATGATTTGACCACCACTTTTCTACTGCCATTGGATGAAGAACAGAAGATACCGTGCAAAAGAGGAAATAAGACCCAGAAAGCCAGTTAAATATCACAGCTAGACACTCAAAGGGAGCATTAATGCAAGAGTAGTGATATCAGAGACACCTGTCAAACATCTTCAGCATCATATCTTCAGATCTCTCCTAGACTGTCTGGAAGAGAGCCAGAGATAAGAGCCTCTTTGCTGAGGCTGACAGCATGGGAGGGATCTATCACACAGAAACTGGCTTTCAGGCAAACCTCATTCTCCTCCCTCTTCTTCCTCTGCATGACTTGGTCAAAGCCTGTAGTGTGTAGCCAGAGATGGTGTCAATTCTGATTCAGGAAAGAGACACAGAGAAACCACCCCACTGTACAGCCTGAACAAAGTATTACCTTAGGTGAGTTACACAGCTCCACTCCAGCCCCACACTCAGGTTAAGTCTCTAATGCTCATGGTTTGCAACCCAAACCATGCACATTGCACAAATGGGGAAAGCCCAAACACCTTCCTCCTGCTACATGGCAGTAGATTCTTCTGTCAGTAGATCGACTGACAAGAGCTACTAGAGAGCAGGTAAGAAGAGTTTTGCCTCCACTAAGAGTTCAGATCCTGTCTCACTTCGAACGTACAATCCAGGTGCCTATAACTACTTCTCTAAGACAGACATTTGTCAAATATTTGGTTTGACAACCCTCTTAGACCTGACCATAGTGCTGACAAAGGTGCCAAAGACACTTTGCAAAGACACCATGAACACAAGACATGCCCATCAGAAGATTCTGAAGAGACTTCAAAATGGGAAAGCCTGGTTGGATCACTGCCACCTCCACTTCCTCAAGGAAGAGGCTGGGCAGCTGTGCTAAGAGCCAGAGAGGATTATCATGAGGATTTAAATTCTGTGTAATGCCCATTCAAACACCTGAAGTTATTTGTTGCTTTTCTATGGGATTTGTGATTGAAGCTCTTACAAGGGGTGATTTGACTCTAAAACAGATTATTTATTTTTGCAGGTCTTTTTCTAATCAAAAAATAAAATCACTCATATAAAAAATGTTATAAAATATCCATTGTGAAAAGCATAACATTCTTTGTCCTTTCTCCTCCTCTTATCAATGGAGCAAACTCTATCGGTTATAAACAATTTGCACAAAATAAACATATCCCAATAATGATCAACCGAAACAAAATCCCATCATATCATTAGGATGAAGCACTGTACAACAGATTGTTGCAGAGATTGGTTATAACGCTGCCTAGGATGAATAAAATCACGTTACACAACACCAATGCAATCTCAGTCATTAGTCACCTAGAAAGCACCTGTTAGAATAAGTTCTCCCCGTTTCACACAAGTTAAAATCGTCCTCCTGTTTAAACTATATTAGCCTCCCGTGGAAAAATAATCCTCATATTTCATACTATAGTTGAACAAGAAAAAATCCAATTGATATACTTTTTTGATCTTTTCAATTTGTTCTGAGCTCAATTGTCTGAAATACTCCAAGGTGATATCACCAGTAGTTCGTTTCTCTGAGCTGTATCTCTTCAAGCTGGGGTAGTGCATGCTCTCTGGTGCCCCAATGATCTTCAGAACATGCTCAGAATCTAAGCCTAGAGTTTCATACTTGCCCAGAACATCATAGTGAATGTTGCAAGGATCACAGAGCAGAAACATTGGTTTCCAGTGGATGTCTAGGGCATTTGGTTGTTTTGTTATAATAAAGTTGACAAATTCTTGGAAACTCACTTTTTCAGAGGAATTATTGTTTTTCCTGAACATGGCCCTAATCTCATTTGCAACAGTGATGCTATAGAATGGCTCAGAGTGCAGAAGCTTGTCCCTGTAAGCTGAAACTAGCCGCTCCAAGGGATGCCTAGTGAACATCACTTTAGTGTAGTTGCTCAGAAACTCCTCTTGCTTTTCAGGAGGGTAAGACGTCAGCTTCTTGATCACTGAAGTTCTGTGGATGTTGTCATGCTCAATTTCAGCAGCTTTCATGTTCAAATCTGCTTGGAGAAGAAAAATTGTTCTCTTCCAGTTGGAGCAGCCTACCTTGGGAACCTCACAGTAGATTAGTTTATGTCTGTGCTCCACAAAGAGCTGGTTTGCAACATGAAAATCCAGTTTGCTTCTTGATTTAAGAAGGTTTTTCTCCAGGCAGACAGAAGCCAGGGTGTTTTTGCGATCATTTTGAATCATCAACCAATCTTCAAAGCGATCAGAAAAAGGACCTGTGACTAGTAAAGAAATTTAAACAATCAGTTTTAAAGAAACTTATATAATTCTTTTCTTCATTATGCCAACCATAACCTTCAATCTATCGACATACCAAAATTGATAATCAAACATGTCAAATGTTTTTTTCATCATTCTTCCCATACATTGCTAAGAGACACAGTGTCAGGGCCTTGGATATATTCTTAGCATTTGAGCTATATATTTACTTTCCAACATATCTGAGAAGGATGGGCTTGGTTCTAAAAATCTCTAAGTCTTTCTGTTAGTAAAGTCTTTACTTACCCGATAGATTTCTTTGTCTCTTGCAGAATAACCCCAAAAGAAATATCCCAAAAAGGAAATTTGGGAGGAGGAAAACTAACACCTTCTGGTTCATATTATTTTCACAGGAAGAAGGATGATGTAGCCTCTAAACAGTCTCTAAATCTGACTTCCTGTCAATGAGAAAACACAATACAAGTTAGCTTTTGTATGACTGATAAAACAGACATGACACAGAATGTAAGACAGCAGAAAGATCTTTCAAGCCCTAGGAAATATAGCTGTTGGCAAGACTGAAACATTCCACTATGAAAAACACTCACCGCTATTTTATTGTTAAGCCAAAGAAAACAAATAATATGATCATTTTAAACAAGAACATAAGTTCCTCCTTCTTCAGGACAAAGAACTTTGCATGAGTAAATACTACTCCCTCCTTCTTATTAAAGCTGGTGCTTGTGTCAAGTAACTCTTCTACTCCTTTGCAATGTTAAGTAGTAATAACCTCACTTAGGATTATGGAGATCTGCTTAAACAAAACAAAACAAAACAAAGCCTTACTTGTTTGGAATCATGCAGTACAAACAAGTTTTGTTTAGTTTGAAAGGGCCCTACTTACAAACCTATGATGAACTCAGGATGTGATTCTTATCATCTCTCCTATTGAAGCTTTTCACTTTGTAAAGCTAAATCAATATTATCTGCAGTGGAAACTGTTTCGTATTTCAGCTGAGAATCCTGGCTACTGAGCAATAGATTAATTCTCTTTCTTTTTCTGTCCCCAAGACTGCAGAGTACCTGTCTGCCACTGTTGCTGCTGCAGCACTCAGGACTGCAGGAAACGATCAAAAAACATGCACTGTGGTAGAGGCAGCAGGAGAGGTGATGCCAAAGGAGACATCCCATGTTCACAGATGGGGACAGTCTGCTGCAGCTCCTCTGAATGTATTCCCTCCCCTTCACTCCCTTGTTCTGCCCCTAGTGCTGCCTGCACGTAGAGCTTGCAGCTCTTCAGTACAACCTTACTATATTGCCCTTGCTAGGAAGGTCTCCATCAGCAAGCTTCTCATCCCATTTTTTTCCGAAGTAGCCAACTTATGTGGGAAAACCTAATTGCTTCTGAATGTAACATTCTGGTTTTGTCCCAAAGGATCTGCTCTGCCAAACAAGTCAGGCAACATTGTTTTGCTTGTTCTGTGCAAGTTTTTCACCCTGAGTTTCCTTGGTACCACCTGGACTTCTCAGGGATGTAACATTATCCTTGCTTTTTTCTATTTTCACGAAGACACAACAGGACCAGGAAGTCATTTGGGGTTCTTACAAAAACCCAAGCTGGAGTTACAGAGACAGATTTCCTGCGTGTTATAAGGCAGCAGTATAGATATAACTGGCTATGCCACTGAAAATGAACTTGTACAACATAGTGGCTTTCTTTCGGGGTGGAGGGGAGCTTTTTTTACACCACATGTTCTTGCCAGGACATCTTCATTCAAACTCATTCAACTAGTTGGCAGCATTACTAAGAATCAGTTCTCACTCAGCGCAGGTATGACCTTAGAAATGAAGGGGGAAGACTGTTCGCTATTTCTGACTTGTAAACAGACACGTACAAGTCCATAATTATTGACTTGTGTTTACATTCAGCCCTTTTACTATTCATTCAAATAAAGGCAGTGCTTTTACACACACACTCTCCTTTATCTAGGCAATACCTTTGCATCTGTTTGGCTGCATAAGGCCATTATAAAGGCTGCAATAAAACATAAGGTTGATCTCTGACTCTTCTGTTTAACTTTTTCTTCATTGCATGTTAACGTTTTCTCCTCACTGCTGACTTCTTGTGCATCAAGAGCTTTTTTCAAAGGCAGATGAAGTCAGCCTGAAAGTGTTTGTTGACCTCTGGGTCTGAGATCAACTGGTATCTTTTTACTCTTTTTGAGAACGATTCAAAGGCACAGTTTCATACTCTGAGGCAAATAAAATGCATATGACATTAAATGATCCTGTACAGAGATTTCTTGTTAGAGCATAGTTTGGAGAAAGAGGTTAGGCATCAGTTACACTTAAGCAGTCACCTCAGGGTGTTATCATAACTGTCTTTGTCAGGAACCAGAAAATGAGCTATATTCACTTATCCTGTTTAGATATTTGTATCATGTAGGTTTGTTAATGAAATTATTTTTATAGGGTCCACTGTAGGACATTTCATGCTGAGACATGTCAATGAGACACTAGAAGGAAAGAGAAAAGATTAGCCTCCCAGAGGGAAAGCAGTTAGTTTAAAAACTAGACAAACAGAGGAGACAACTCCTCTCCTAACAAACAGACATTTGCATATTTGTGGAAGCAAAAGAATCCATATTTTAATTCAGGAGAATGGCAAGATTGCCTCCTGGGAAGGGCAGGAATAGAACAAACTCCAGGGTGAAAGATTATATCTGCCTGAATTCCTTAGAAGACTTCAGAGCACGTACTTGCTCTCCTTCCTCCTCCACCAAGGAGCGAACTGGCTCACACTGCTGATTTTGAGAAGCTACCTGAATGTGAAGTCCTGAGGGTGCTTTTGAAGGTGTTTCCTGATGGGAGTTCCCAACAAGCAGTCTTGTACACGGAAGGACCCAATGACGAGAAACACTGAATCACTTAAAGGCAACCTGAGGCACAGGCAGGAAAGGAAATTCTGAGAGTCACCTTGTCTGAAGGGGTAAAAATAACCTGGAAATAAAAGAAGAACAACAAAACCAAAATTTAGTGATATAAATATATTTCTTTTGGTTTTTTCTTTTTTTTTCTTTTAAAGATATTTGTGTGTCCATTTTAAATGCAATGAAATAATTTAAATTTTACCTCAGCCCACCTGGAATGGTGTGTGATTTAAGGGGATTGGGTAACTACACAGCATTCCTCGTGCAAGGTGTGCCAAATCAATTAACACAACTCCTCAACAAACGGTCTAGTTCAGCTGCATCTAAAGGGGAACATATTGGGTCCCCAAAGGCAGGATATAAAAGTAGTACCATAAGGCTCACAAAAAAAAAAAAAAAAAAAAAAAAAAAAAAAAAAAAAAAAACGGACAACATGCAAAATGTTCTGAATGGTTCTTTGACAGCAACATATCCCAAAAAAGGGGACAATACACTGAAAATAGGACACAGGGCATTAGTCTGCTTTGTTGTTCTAGTAGTGATCATTTTTTTTAATGAAAACCAAAATCTAGATACAGATCCAGATGTCTATCTATATCTATACTGATGGCTCTTGCTTATTCTTCATGGCACAACATTACAGAACACGGTAAGTAGCCACTGCTGAATATATTCAACTCTGCTTATTGTGGATAGTTTAATGCCAAAAATCATGAGTACAGGATCTAGCACATCACACTCGCACTGAAATTCTTCCTCCTACCATGAAGACTCATTCCTAGATACTATGTATTGTTCTGGAGGGACTAGACAGTGTTGCCTGTAAAGTCTCTCTAACAGCCCATTCTGTTCTTAAATGGTTAAAACAATACCTCATGCCATAATCCCTAGTCCTTCTCTGGAAATGCTGAAACATTCCAGTTGAAAGAATCTGCAGTTTCCCATCAGTCTGAACAACAATACTTTGTTACTTTTACAAACAATTACAAGACTTTAAATTGGAACTGTTGCATAATGGCAAGTCTGTATGTATGGCAACTATTATCCAAGTATAAAATACACACTTAGATGTGCATATACGTGTGTGTATATATAAAATACACTATCATATATGCATGTATATAAATATGTGTGTGTATATATAATATACATACTCATATGTGCATATATACACGTGCATATATGACTGCATACACACTCACATGTGTAGTTCAAAATCGCATTGATAGCAGTTACACTGGCATACTGTTTGCTCCAAGTAAACTAACTAAATAGGTGGATAAGGACTTAGAATCTCCTAGTGATAAACTTACAGAGGTGTGTCTCCGGCTAATTTTTGGTAAATTCAAACCTCGGTCACAGCTGTGCATACGAGTGCTCCCTGGCTCTCAGCCTCACGATAAGCAGACTCTCCAGATTAAAAGAACGAAAAGGCAACAATACTCGTGTGTGTTTCTGATACACTTGAAGCCTGAGGCAGAAAACATACCAGCAGGGTGGCTCAGTGAAAGGCAGAGAAAACCTCTGAAAACAGATAACATTCTCAGTGACTGGGTCACATTCTCCACTTAAGCTCTGCTAATGCCTTCAAAAAGACAACTGCAAATACACACGTACCTATGTGTATGGAAGTACATAGAATACAAGGAGGGGATGATGTGTATCAGCCCCACATGAACCACCAGAATAAAAAAAGCAGCAGGACAAAAGCAGCTTTGCAGGAAGAAAGCCTGACTATGGTGTCCTAAGAGGGTGAATGCTTCCATTTAACAGCAAGAGGCCGTTCACCCAAACCAAGGGCTCCTCTGCTCTCTGGGAAGGCGAGGGAGCTGAGTCCTAGCGGGCAGGCCGGTCTGACCCATAAAGTGGATTAAACTGCTGCTCATCCTCACTGCATCCCCCCTTTTCACCTGTGCTCTGGCTCCTGCACCTGCTCCACTGCAGCCCACGCCACCTACCAGTCTTGCCAGCCAGGCCTCGTGCCCCAAGCCCTTATCTGTCACCTCGGGCAGTGCTAAACGCTCAGTTCTTCCTTCTGATCAGTCCTACTACCACTCTCCATTACTAGTTTACCAAACAAGTATCTCATACTTGCACCTGGGGTGCCTCTCTCCTCCAAAGAAAAAAAGCAAAAGCTTCTAAAACTTTTCCAGAGCTTTTGTAGTTTTTCTCCTAAAATTCGCTCCTTAAAATCCTTTTCAGTGATGCCAACAGGAAAAAAAAAAAAAAAAAAAAAAAAAAAAAAAAAAAAAAAAAAAAAAAAAAAAAAAAATGAAAAGAAAAAAGAAAGAAAGAAGAGAAAAGGCTCTAGCTAGGCTGCCAGTGTACTAGAACTACTAGAACTATTACCAACCATGCAAAAGGATGAGAGAAAGAAAGAGCCAATTTGGGGCTGAAAAGAACCAAAGAGAGCATAAGAAAGAGGGCATAGAAAAAGGCAGGATGGAGCCTGATGGAAGAACTCCAGGACAAGCAGGGGGCTGTAACCCAAGGAAGGGCAAAGGGGCTGGGGTGATGAGAACAGCAGCCCTCCATGGAATCAGCTCTAGCAACTATGTGGGAAAGGGAGGCTGAAACGGGCAGCAGCAAAAATACCAAGTACAATTCATCCAATAACGCTGGAGAAAAACAAATGGAAGAGAAAGCGTTCATACTGAGATGATCTCGCATACAAAGGACATGCACAGAACAAGCCAGTTAATTACCACAGACTTTTTAAAAGTAATGGGACTAACGGCAGCCCGATCACACTCTCCAGCCAATCCCTTGCTGTGGATTCTGGCTGGTCTCTGCCACTGCTGAGGCGCTTTCCTCCCTGGAGCTGTATCACAGAATCATGGAATTATTATGGCTAGAAAGACCTTCAAGGTCATCAAGCCCAAGAGTCCCACGTTTGGGGTTCCGTAAGGGGTCACTTGCACTAGAGGCTGACTGGGAGCTGTGAGGGCCAACTGCTCCCCAAGGGCCAGAGAGGAGAGGAGTTAAGGCCTGCTGCAGGCAGGGAAGGGAGAGAGGAAGGATGGGAGAGAAAGGAATTCTTTCTAGGGTGCCTTCACAAGAAAATCTCAGAGAGCTGAAGTGAGAGTTATACACTGGTAACAAAGACAAAAGCCTCTGAGCTCTGCTCCTCTGGGACAGGTGAGCCACAGGCACCAGAAGCTTTGGCATGCACAAGTGCTATGTGGATGGGAGTGAAAACAGGGCTGGGAAGAAGATCCTCCAATTCTCCTAGCTCTAAGACTCGTTTAGCCTCATCACTGGAGAATTTTTTTCAGGTATTCTGAGCCTCCAGAAGCTTTGCAGGTGCAGCTCCAGAATACCTGTCATTAGCACAGTCCTGCAGTGGTAAACTGGGAAATGTGTGCTACAGCAAACGAAGTCCATTTCGAAAGCCCAGATTTTCATTGACTAAGGCAAAACAATCCCCTAGTTGAAAAGTCAGGTTGATTTTCTGAAGGAAGTGTCACTTCTTTCTTGATTATGCCCATAACCAAAAATCTAGTTCTTAATCTAGTGGTACTGGGATGTAGGGACTTCCTGTATAAACTCAATTCAAAAACCTACTTGTGTCAACTGCTATTTAAACCACTGCAAAACCAGGCAGGGAGAGCGAGTCTCTACCCCTCTTTTAGGGAGTCTAGATAAATCTATGAAACTTGAGAAGGATAAAACGAGAAAAAGAATAAAGAAGCTTAGAATAGGATACACACTACAGTGGCAATGAACTACCTCATCTCAGGTTTATTTTATGTAAAACTCATATCATCCCTTTGTCTTATATTGATAACTAGGGCTCTGCTTTCTTATGTGCCTTACACTCCCCTCCCAAATTCCTCTCTTCTCAGTTACTCTTGACAACAGTGACCACTTCCTTGCCATTCAGGCTATTCACACTATCTTGGCCCTAGATCCCTTCTCTCCCGTCTTACTTTGATCTCGCTGCGTAAACTGGTTTCATTCATTCCTGCCACTACACACTGAATAGGAAAATCAGAACTTCAACAGTCCCTGTTGCTCAGTACACACCCTCCAGACTACTGCTCACCTAGTTATAAGCTTCTTGCTGTTGCTTCACTGGTAAAATCTCTGAAACAGTCACGATCACTCCCTATTTTTTCAGGCCAGTATGTCCAAAGTGGCCCTACTAAAACTATTTTCATTTTTGTTCCCGCCTTCTCCAGCTTCTGCCTCATCCTAGTCCAGCTTTTCACTTTTCCTTCAGTGTCCCACACTATGTCATCCAAAACTCTACTCTCATTCACTTTTTTATTTTTTTATTCCTCCCAAGACTTCTTCTGCCTAATCCTTAAACTAGTGGTTTTGCGTGCGCTCTTTTACAGAAATAAACTTCTCCTGAAATAGCCGTACTCACAAAAATGTATGCATTCCCTCCCTCTTCCTATACCAATCTAGGTCTATTTTTTCCTCTCCTTATTAGTATCCTCTGTGTCCCAGAACAAGCTGTTCAGTAAAAGGCTTACATTTTAGTCTTTATTTTTATGAAACATATTTTATTGTATACACTTGCAGCACACGCAGTATTAAGTATTCACAAGTTAGGAAAAAGTAGCATTAAAGTTATGTATGAATGGAAGCACAGAGAGTGAAATAACTGTTGACTTTTTGTTTCAAGATTGAGATGCGACATTTCATGCTATTTAACATTATGGTATACTCTGTACATTAAAAACAGATTTTGCTGATATTTTACAGATCTGTATTTTACAGATACAGATACAGATGCTTCTCCTTTGCTCCTTCCCAAATGTGACCTCCCTCTTCCCTAGCGCCTGCTTCCACTCCTCAGGCTGTTATCCAGCCACCAGCAAATCCTCATCTCACCTCTGAAAGCCACGCTCGCTCTGCTCCCAGGCAGCCTGCCCAGCAAATCCTGTTTTCCATTTTTTTTTCCAACTGTTTTTGCTGAAAGGGTTTGTTTGTTTGTTTGTTTTAACATCCTGAGGCAGGTATTTAGCATAGAAAACTTCAGCTTAAATGCTTGAAATTTGAGAAAACCTTATGCAGTTGCAAATAGTATTGAAATGAGAAGAATCAAGATGCCTATCAGGTTCACCTACAAGAATTTACCCTTATGCAGTGCCAGAAATGAATGAATGCTTCTGTCTCCTCATTTCAGATACCAGAGTCATTACAGCAACTTTCAGCTGTTTATTAAACACCTATGTTCTTAATTTAGGCATGCTAAAGGAACGAAAAGAAATTCCAAAAATAAATACCCTTCAGATTTGCTTCCTCATTATGTGTTCCAAAACTAAATATTATTACTGTCCCTGTTTATTTCTTGAGAGTTTCAATAGCAATTTCTAAATATAAAAACAAACAACAAAAAAGCAACCCTGTGATAGAGAAATCTCCCTTTGTAAAGATTTGATTACACCATGGAAATCATGATATTATGGAATGCCACTGAGAACCCAATTTTACTCACCAATCAGATCACCTCGGTGAAGATTTTCCACTTCTCTGAATGTTAGTAAGTAGGAAAAAAAATCCAGAGAGAGAAAAAAAACAGGCCAAAGAAACATTTCATTTTATGCCTGGGTCTGCAGAGGAAGCAGGGAGAGGTTTTATCTTCTCCTTACCTGGACTTCACAGTCGGGCAAAGTGTTTCTGCAGCCACATCGATGCCTTCCCAGAGGAGCATCTGAAAGACTCTGCATACGCAGAATTTATTTCTGTCTTCACTTTGATTAAGTGCCCAGCTAAAGCCGTAAGTGTTTCCCTGTGAACATTTAGGTGAGCATCTCCAGTTGCACATTACTGAGCAATGTTCTGTGTCTGTCTCTGGGTATAATAAGCAGCTTTTAACCACTCCCTGTGTATGGTCTACAGCAGGTCTCAGAGCCTGCCAAGCGCTTCAATAGCAGCCTGCCAAGAGGCTGCCTGTTAAGCAACGAAGAGGGAGGATGGTTGGGAATACGAGGATAAAGGTAATCGGGGTGAGAGTGACTGTGATGGGATAATGTATATTGATTTTAGATCAGGTACAAGAGCAAGGGGTTGCTTTGCAAAGCAAACCCAATGCACTCGCTACAAGCAGAATCCAATAAACACTGGGAACTGTTAGGTAAGTTCTCTTGGGAAACAGAGCTAAAGAAGAAGGAATTTAGTAGATTTGGCAGTTTCTTAGAGAAATGATGTTTAGGATACAAGCACAAACAATCCCACACAGTAGGAGGATAGGAAGTATGGTCAGGGACCAACTTGGCTAAGTAACAAGGTTTTCGATGACCTGAAACACCAGAAGGAAATGTACAGAAAGAGGGAACCAGGTCAAACTGCTAAGGGTAAGTACCAAAAAATGCTGAAACAAAATCAGAAAGTATAAAGTACAAATTTAAATGTAAGAAGCAATGGACATAAAGGATAGCAAGAAAACAATCTTTAAGGAAAAGATAAACCTAATAATAGACTGCATGCAGAAAGTTAAAGTACACTTTGCCTCACTCTTCACTAAAAGGGTGATCTGCAACCACATGACTGACATAACTAAAACCAGGAAGAAATAAGTCAACCAAAATAGGTAAAGGACAGATCTGAGGAGTATCTTGGTGGGGCTGCAATTTACCTCATCCAAAAGATCACGCCTCTAGCACATCTCCAAAATAACTCTTTTATTGGTCATGTACTGTACTGACTACATCTCTCCTGACTGTGATGGAGCACACAGATGGTTGTTATATAGACGATTAAAATTATTAGAAATAAATCCTACCAGGAATGAGGGCTGGGCCTGAGGGATTGCATGGAGGTTACCTTGAGAACAGAGGGAAAGAAGTGAAAAGCTGCCAGCTTCCCTTCTGAAAACTCATGAAAGATAAGTGAGATTCCAGGAAATTGGAGAGACGAACACAATGCTCATCTTTAAAAAGTCAAGAAATGAAGAAGAGAGCAATTCTTGAAAAACAGTGGAATAAATAACACAAGAAAATGTTCATAAGCAGCACAGAGAAAATTATAAAAGCTGATAGCCAACATGTGAAGAATAGAAAGCAATATAGCTTTGACAACAATAACAGATATCATAGAGAAGTGAGTCATGCAATATGTCTTAATTCTAGTAATGTTATTAACTGATTTAACATACAAATATTTCCATTAGTAAATAAAGAAACGAAGATAAGATATTTTACTGTGAGCACAGAACTAGTGGATAAAACAGTCTTCTATATTCCATTATAAGAACTCATCTTCAAATGCAAAAAAAAAATCTTGTAAGTGAGATTACAACTGGGTTTGTTCTGGCCTAGGTCCATTTTCATTAGAGACGTGGATAAAGGAATGATCCTTCAACCTTCCAGATAACTATAGACCCAGATAAGCAACAAATACCTTGGATGATAGGTTAATTTCAGAATGCACTTGACAAATAAGAGCACAAGGTCTGAAGGAGAAACAAGGGTGCCATGCACTTGTGTTCACAGGAGTGCGGTTCTACGCAGGGTTGACGAGGACCAACTAGGGCCCCATTCGGTTAGAAAGGGACAACAGGCTCAGTCCGTCACAAGTTATATACAAGCAATGCTACAGCTACAAAAACAGACAAACAAAAAATGCATATTATTATATTATATTATTACAAAGATAAACATTTTTCTGTGAGATCTATCCAAGCAGCTTCCTATTATACTTCGGGCTAGCAGAGTGGCTAGCAGCATTGTATCCTTTGGCAAGCAAAAGGGTTCAGGGAGAAGGTAGATCGAGTGGAGGGAACCCAGAGAAGAACATGGAAAATGGTCAGATGTCTGGAAAAACATGAAAGAAATATTGAAACAATTGAGATTATTCAGTCTACAGAAGAGAAGACCAAGTGAAGACATGGAAATAATCAGCTACATAAAAGCTATCTGTAAAAGGGTAAGGATTAAATTGCTCTATCTGCAGGGGATATGAGGTAATGGTCTTAAAGTGCAGCAAGAGAATTTATGTTATGTATTAGGAAGATCTTAATAGCAGAAAAAGTAATAAAATACTTCTTTAATTTCCAAGGTATGATTGATCCTTTCTTGGAGCTTCAGAATAGATAACATGACCTCTTGAAGTCTTTTCCAGCCTCAGTTTTTCTAAGTCTGGGGTTCATTGGTTGTGTAATTCTGAATATCTGTCTTACACCTCTAGAGAACACCTTGTTTTCAAAGTTTTCATGCCAAACTGTACCAAGCCAGATTGCGGTTTCAATGCAGGGGACTCAAAGAATGAGCAAAGCCAATACCGGGCTTATCACTGCCTAGCTGGGCATGATGCCACCTCTGTTTTTTCTATATCGTGTCCTTCGAGCACTCATAAGAAATACAGGGAGTTGTGGCCTGAGTGCTGCTATCTTCTAATGTCCAGAGACTGCTGTATCTGACTGATTTGGTGGTTGCACGTTGCATTTTCAGATGTCTGAAGCGGATCCATCTCCCTTCTGTGGATTCCTAACGGAGGCTGTTGGAGAAGCACTCCCATCCGTTCACACATGCCTTTCTGGTGAGCTCCTGCAAACCACTAACAAGGCATGGAGCTCACCTGCCTCAGGGCACACTTCTGATGATGAGCCATGGGAGAGCACTGCACGGAGCGAGACGTGCACAGAAAATATGCAGACGTCGTACGATGGTGGAAGGCTGCAGGACCAGGCTGCTTCAGCCTTTAGAGGTGTTCTCTTTATATGCTTGTTCTTTGTATTAAACGAACATCAAGCTCGTATGAAATATATATATAATCTATATATTTGTTATATAGGTATTTGTAATACATATAACAAATTATTATGTACAATATATATATTACAAAATTACATATTTATATATCATATATAACATTATTATATTATATTATATTATATTATATTATATTATATTATATTATATTATATTATATTAATAATTATATCCTCACTGGACAAAATTAAATTCCTTTTGATTTATTTATGCCACAGATCTAACTCTGCCCACATATAGTCATTCCAGGTAAAATGACAGTATCATATTGATGTCATATCCAACGCCAGCAAAACACCAGTGTTAGCCATGACATACGACCGCTCCAACTCACTGGGACATGTTCAGGTAATTTTGTACAAAAACACATGGCCTCCTTGAAAAACAGTTTATGCCTTCCAGAAAAGTTATATTTTCATATTTCACACAATAGTTGAACCAGAAAAATTCTATTTGATACTGTGTCCTCACCTTCTGAATTTCTTTTGAACTCTGCATTTGTCTGAAATACCTAATTTATTTCTGTGAGTCACACCTTTTAAAACCAGCACAACACACAAGGAGGGGGCTTGAGCTTGCCTAACAGGTAGTACTGCAGGAGCCACACAACAGGAACACTGATTTCACAGATTCACTATCGTATAATTTTTCTCCATGTACACTTTACCAACCCTGCTGAACAAAAGTTTTAGAGGGCTAGGTATTTCCCTCTGAAAAAATAAAAGCTAAAAAGGAAGTTATTCAAATGAACAACTAAAATACAAAAGTCTATTCTATTCAAGTTCAAACATTTATAAAGCCAGGGAATACCCTCACTTCTGAAGGCAGCCTGTATTTTCTCTTGCTCAGGTGTGTAGCTTTCAGCTAAGATCCCCTGTTTAAACCCACTAGGGACTTCTCAGTGCCTCAACTCCACAAGCACCAATATCCCTTGAAAATTCCCCTTGCAGTTGCTATCTTATTTCGCCAGCACCAACATTTTCTTTCAATGCCTGCTTTTCTCCCAGCAAATGAGGAGCCCACTGCACAAGTCCTACAAGTCTCTGGAGCCATTCCTAAGCCTTATAAATACTCCCCTTAAAGTCTATATCGCCATGTACATAAACAGGATCATGCCCTTCGAATATTTTTTACAGTCATTGGCTGCTTGAGCCCCCCTCAGCCTCCACCACAGGCTGCGCTGCCCACTGTGCTCTCGGGACACTCGAGTACTGCTGCTTTCCCCACGGACAAGCCTGGGTGCCGCAGGAGCTGCTTCGAATCCCAGTTCCTCCAAGGAGCAGGTCACTCGGCTTGCCCAGCCACGGCGCTCCGCTCCGCATCCTGATGCAGGTCTGTGGGTTGGGCAAGCAGGAGTCTCAATATGCCTCGATATCAAACACAGGTTTAGGGTCAATGGGCTCTAAAAAAGACTAATCCATCTGGTTGTGGTTGGGAAGGAAGGCCATGAGTGCAGGATTTAATCGGTGTCAGGCAACGAACTGTGCAAAAGCCAAAGTCTTCGTACAAACTCACCGATCGTTTGCTGAACTTTCTAGGTCACTTGAAGCCAATTGCCCATATTTGATATTGAAGTGGAATATGAGCCAAGAAATACTAATGATACCAGGCATGGAGAAGGTACTTTAAGAAAAGGAGGACTAAGAGCCCAGCAAAAGGTTTTGAACTGCTAGGCCAGGAGCTTGGAACAACACTCGTCCTGGAGGCTCTGCAAGTGTCCAGCAAGTGTTAGCGCTTGGGAAAACAGGGTCGGAGCTCGAGGTGCAGCTCATGGGGGAACGCTGCGAACTAACGCACTTGCACAGGTAACAAGCGTAAGTTTGCTACAAACAAACTTAAAATCCTGAAGGGCCAGGGCCAACACACAAAGCAGTGGCTATCAGGAGGGAAATTTTCTCTTCTTTCAGTGATAGAATAAGTCACTGGTATTTTCAGGTGCAAGATAAAAGCTTTTGTGATTTGAACAAACAAATAAAAGCAAGGATAGCTGGATTTGGAGAAACAGGACACTGTCACTCTGTAGCACCATAACTTGGACTGTACAAACACAACCCCGCCTCTGTAGGCACAGG